ACACACACACACACCTGTCCCCTGCATCTGACTGCTAACCACACCCACATCCACACTGTCTTTTAAGGTTTTTGCTTCTAGTTTACCTTGATAATGAGCACTGATTGGTGTCACTCATGCTCACTTCATTTAGCCATTTGTGTTAAAGGAATACTTCACCCACAAAATGATGATTTATACATCAATTACTCACCCTGTGTGTCTATTTTTCTCTCATGCCTCCACGATGAATGGAGAATCCAAAACCAGAGATAATTCCTGGTGAGCTAGAGTTAAAGAGGGCTGCATTTAACAACAGCAAAACTCTATCATACATACTATATCATCCTTTGACAAGCTCTCACACAGCTCATGCAGTATAATCCATATAAACAGTCTCACACACAGATGAGTAGTGGGCCTGGGCAAGCATTTGCTTTTGAACTTTGCTCTGCCAAGGAGCGTTAGTTGTATGTGGAAGTATTTTCAATAGAAAAGTTTAAGTCAATTGTAAAGTTTTAGTCAAATTGCATATGTTTGGGAAGTACTGAGCCTACGACTGGATAAATGAGACTAGGATTCGGATGACTCTTATTCAGTTTCTGTGCACAATAGCTTCTTTAACATGTGTTATCACTCATATCCCGACATAAGACAATAAGAATAAGAAAAATAAGACAGGTAGCTTTCATTTTTCCTCTCTTTTCTTTCGGTGAAAGGTCGTCTTTGCTGGTGCTTTCATCCCTCACACTGGCTGCCAATCAGGGCTTTTGATTTGTCACACACTTGTAATTCCTGCACATGAATGGTGACAAATAGGTTCCCTTAGAAAGTTTTTTAAATTAAATTAAATTACATTTTTTAGCTAGAGTTTGCCTCTTTATGAACACAACATACTGATACATTCATAACTTTTTGTATAGGCCCAGCTGAATACTGCAAATAATAATGTCTGGTTAACACAAAATCCCACGGCACACCTAGAATGGCAGCACGGCACACCGGGCTTCCCCCTCCTTTGTCCTCCTACAAGACCTGGAGTGTTAAAATGCAAAGTTTCACATGAACCCAGGATGTACTGTGACTCAAACACTCACTCAGTCAGTCACAGTTGGCCTTCCTGACCCCTAGTGGCCGTTAGGAGACATGGCAGTGTCAGAGGATGCACTGAAGCAGGAGAATTCACTTCCCCTCTCTGTGAAGAGCTGCTAAACTTTGGAAGATGTTTCATGTCCTGAACTCTTCTAATACATGTCTGAGAAGAAGAAAGCTGCTTTCTGCTGGCAGCCATATTATCAGTGCCAGTTTATCTAAGTCAGTCCAATGGCTCTGATGGCTATGATCCTTATTTTGCAGCTTTCTCTTTGATTATAGTAAACCCTGTACTCCTGCTGTCTGAGCTCTCATTATTCATCATGTCACAGTCATCTCTGTGGGGTGAAGACAGCACTGTCTGCTCGCTGTCGACGTGAACTTCCCATTTTATCCCTTTCTATTTGCAGACACTGCCACGCCCTCCCGAGCCAGCAGGATAAAGTTCAACAAGTGTCCTAATGCTACAGACTAACCACAGCACCTTTGTCAGAGAGGTCCAACTCCTTTTACTCCTAAAAACTAAAAATATCTCTGAACTTTCCCCCTAAAAGAAGACTCTCTGTTTTCCAGCGGAATATTCAAACTATTTTGGAAAGTCTTTTTTCCTTAATAAAGTGTCTGTGTTATTTGAGGAAGAAGAAGAAGAAGAAAGCATCACTTTTAAAGATGCTCTGCGTCTTTTCCCGCTGAGTCTGTGAAGTGAGCGCGGCGGTGCGGACACCTCCACAGCCTTCAGCACAGCCAGGGCGACAGCAGAGGGCTCATTGGAGAGGGAGCAGGTCAGTGTGTGAGCGATGGCTGGATGTTGTGTGTCGGCGGAGGAGAGGGAGAACCAGAGGATCAATGAGGAGATCGAGAAGCAGCTGCGCAGAGACAAGAAGGACTCTCGCAGGGAGCTGAAGCTGCTGCTGTTGGGTGAGCATCACTGACCAGGGATCAGACCTCAGGGGGCTTTACACAGCCTTTCTCACACACACTTAGTGGACCCTACCTCTGAATATATGACACACTGGGGTAAACTGTAGATTGGAAATATGGTCATAATGGGATGAAACTCCATGTTTATATTTATTTGCGCATTTCCAAATGCCCCCCCCCCAAAAAAAAATCTTTCAAATGCTTCTGGTGGCCCGTTGTACTGCTTCCTGACCACACCTGGACATGCAGGTGTCATGGCAGGTGACACAGCCACCATCAGCCTTTCAAAATGTATTTCAATGAACATGTGGGATATCCATTCTTTGTAGCTTATTATAAGATGTGTGATGGGTTGTATCGATGTAGCTGTGCATCAGGAGGCACAAGCTTCATATCTAACTGTTCTCCACATTTCCTTTCTCCTCATTCCTCTCTCTGCTCTCCGGATGTAGTGCAGAGCGCACTGGCTTTCCCCGAACATTCAGGGTGTGAGCAGCTGCGCGCCATAGTCGCACCATTGATTTTACGCACCGTGGAGAGTTTCCAAGTTTTATAAATGTAGTCTAATGGCTTCATTTAGTTCCCGCCTGCCCAAATGTACTGAAAAAAGTCGCATGGAGAGAGAGATTGGACAATTTAAGATGAGATTGCGTTTTGACTTTTGCTCATTTCCAGTTAAATGTCGATAGAAACCGAAACTAGCTGCTGACGACGCGTTCATTTCCAGTTAAATTCCCTCAGAGAGCTGTGTGTTTGCTTCATGATGGACTGGAAAAATGTGGGTGTTTCCTGTCCGTCTGTTGGTATAAACTCCAGCCAACTTGAAGGGAGTAAAAAGACAAATAGTGAGGGGAAAGTATAAGCTGTTAGTTATCAGTACAGCATCAATGACTGTAATGTTTATACATTGTGAGGCCTTTAAAAAAAGGTGTTAATAATGTGAAGCTAAAGTTTTTTCACTTGTCCTGTCACAGTGAAGGAAGGGCATACACAGCTTACTTCCTGGTGTGAGTTCACTGAATTGCTCAAGGACACTTCAGCAGGTCCAATTGAGGAAGGGCCTGAGGCTTGACCCCAGGTTTTCTCTGTCAGTACTATGACACTGTGATCTATGTTCACATGTGTAGCTTTGGGAGCACTTCACACATCAGGGAAGTTTAAACGAATCCATGACTCCATCAGGTCTCTGGACACAGCCTGTTTGACAGCAGCAGTGTGGGAGCACCTCAGGGACACAAGTCACTGTCAAGGCTCCGGTCAGTGGTGTGTTAGAAAGCCATAACTAGCTGCTGCGGGTGCGCCTCATGCAAAAGTTATGCAAATCCAGCCCTGACCTGGAAATGAGCTGCAGGTTTGCCTCCACTGCTTTCCTAGGAAGGGTTAAGCCCAATTTATTATAAATCGCATTTAATTTGCTTTGAAAATTCTTTTCTCGGATCACTGGACAGTAGATTACTAACACAACAGGGCTGGAGCCAAAGGTTGCAAACATTTGGGGGTCAGCCTAAACTTAGAGGGCTCCAAGCGCACGCTCCCACAGAGAATTTTTTTCCCATTTGCGCTGTCAACAAAAACAGTGCTAAACAGCACCCACAAGTTGTTATCATATGAGAATCTGTTTGGTGCTACATGGCACCCATCATTTAAAGGTGCTAGACGGTGCATTTATCTAATACTGCTATAGAACCATTAGGGGTAACTTATAGCGCTACATTGTTTTTAATATTTTTAGCCTAGGGGCCCTTCAATGACACCAGATACCATGGATGAGTCAAAATGCTTCTAAATGACACTTTAACTTAAAATATGAATGATTATTAATAATTTCTTATGAAATGTTGCCTTAAAAATTCTGAATCCTCCCAAAATGCTTACTGAGAAACACATTACCTTTACAAACCTGTAATTTTTCCGTGCACGAGAGCCACTTCTTCAATGTGTTATTACCTGGATATAGTATAATATTTTAATGTGGAATGGAATAGTAATCTATTTAATGTAGTGTTTTATTCTCTCCCTTGCTTAACTAAGCTAAAGAGCCAGTAGAGAGCCTCTGAAGAACAATACAGGGGCTTAAAAAGTTCACTGCTGGTTCTTCAACTTAGTTTAGTGTAGTTATTTTATTTTATTTTATTTTATTTTAGTCTGGTTTAGTTTAGTTTAGATTAGTTTGGTTTGGTTGGGGTTGGTTGGTTTAGTTTAGTTTAGTTTAGTTAAGTTTAGCTTAGTTTGATTGGTTTAGTTTAGTTTAGTTTGGTTGGGTTGGGTGGGGTTTGTTTAGTTTGGTTTGGTTTGGTTGGGTTGGGGTTGGTTGGTTTAGTTTAGTTTAGTTTAGTTTAGTTGGGTTGGGTGGGGTTTGTTTAGTTTAGTTTGGTTTGGTTTGGTTTGGTTGGGTTGGGTTAATTTAGTTTAGTTTAGTTGGGTTGGGTTTAGTTTAGTTTAGTTTATTTTAGTGTAGTTTAGTTTGGTTTGGGTGGGGTTTGTTTTGTTTTGTTTGGTTTGGTTGTGTTAATTTAATTTAGTTTAGTTTAGTTTAGTTTAGTTTAGTTTAGCTGGGTTGGGTGGGGTTGTGTGGGGTTTGTTTAGTTTAGTTTGGTTTGGTTTGGTTGGGTTAATTTAGTTTAGTTTAGTTTGGTTGGGTTGGGGTTGGTTTAGTTTAGTTTGGTTTAGTTTAGTTTAGTTTAGTTGGGTTGGGTTGGGTTGGGTTTGGTTTGGTTTGGTTGGGTTAATTTAGTTTAGTTTAGTTTGGTTGGGTTTGGTTTGGTTTGGTTGGGTTAATTTAGTTTAGTTTAGTTGGGTTAAGTTTAGTTTAGTTTGGTTGGGTTGGGTTGGGTTGGGGTTGGTTTAGTTTAGTTTAGTTTAGTTTGGTTTGGGTGGGGTTTGTTTTGTTTTGTTTGGTTTGGTTGTGTTAATTTCAGTTTAGTTTAGTTGGGTTGGGTTGGGTGGGGTTTGTTTAGTTTAGTTTAGTTTGGTTTGGTTTGGTTGGGTTAATTTAGTTTAGTTTAGTTGGGTTGGGTTTAGTTTAGTTTAGTTTAGTTTGGTTGGGTTGGGGTTGGTTTAGTTTAGTTTAGTTTAGTTTAGTTTAGTTTGGTTTGGTTTGGTTTGGGTGGGGTTTGTTTAGTTTAGTTTGGTTTGGTTTGGTTGGGTTAATTTAGTTTAGTTTAGTTTAGTTTAGTTTAGTTTAGTTTAGTTTGGTTTGGTTTGGGTGGGGTTTGTTTAGTTTAATTTGGTTTGGTTTGGTTGGGTTAATTTAGTTTAGTTTAGTTTAGTTTAGTTTGGGTTTGGTTGGTTTAGTTTAGTTTATTTTAGAGGGGAAAGAGCAAGTAGAGATCCTCTACAGAACCATAAAGGGACTTAAAAAGATATTTGTGTGGCAGCGGTGCTATGTGGCACCTCAACCCATGCAAAGAAGAGCTGATCAGCCAACATTTTTCTGTGTGTATGGAAGCTATACGCACAGTTTTTCAAGACATTTGAGAGAATGCCTAAAAATCTGTAAACAAAAACATGATAGTTGCCAAGAAAAACAAAATCCTGCTGTGTTGACATCATATTTTGTATCTAATTGTTCTCCAACTGTCTTCATCATTCTGAAACCATAACACAACAAATGCTGAGGAGGACTAATTTTCACTCCTGTCACATAAAAAGAGGCAGAAATGGTCCGATGTTACTATTTTTTAAGTTACATAAGTAGCGTAGGACTTTGGCATGAACAGCATCACTAACCTTGAAACCCATTTTTTTAATACACTATACTGGAGTTTACAGAATAAATGTTTGGCCAACAAACCTGCTATGTTTAAATCCATCCCATAATAATCTGGGCTGCTCTAATTGCAAATCAATGATCCCCAACAAAGTCGAGTAAACAGAAGAACATTTAGTCAATTATATGAGATTTCTTTATGGAGCAGCATAGATTTAAGGCTTTTGATAAAATATTGGGAGTTGAAGGCCCCAAACCTCAGCTCCAGCTCTGCCACGCCAACGCATCACTGATAGATATGATCTGAAAAGGGTGGTAGGCCTTAACATTCAGCAATACATAGATTCTGGTACAGTTCATGGGAGGACGATGAATAAATGTGGGATGATGAAACAGATGAACTGAAACTGAATTATCTGATAAACAGGAACAAGTGCATCAGGTCAGCAGAAAAAATATGTCTTAGTCACCAAACTTCACTACTCAGTGTGACTTTTGAAACATTAAAACACTATTAGATATAGATATAGATATAGATCTTGATCTAATGTGTAATCATGGTTTGCCATAGTGCTGTCTGAATCACAGGATATTTATTGTGTATCTTTGTATCTTACGCTTTACAGTTCTTTTGATTTTCCATGTAACTGATCAAGTTATCAAGTAACGTGTAGTCCTTACCAGTAAGTCAGAGCTCTCAGTGGATTCATTAAGATGGTCACAGTCAGGTCCCTGTAGAGGACAAGTGGGGGTGAGAGAATAAATGATCAACACATTTTGCCTCTTCTGTCCATTCAGTAATTGCACCTGAAAAGCTGTAGGGTGAATCACACATGTCAGGACTGCTGGAGACAGCACAGGTCATATAGTGAGAGAAAGCAGGAATCAAACACTTTTACAGACTAAACAAACTATGTAGGCATGTACATCTGAATAGATGTAGTATGAATGTTAAATATTGAACTCAAACTCATGCGAGCACAAAACATACAAGGAGAACAGACAAGAACGATCGATACTTAGAGTACCAAAAGTAAAACTACTCACAGTGCAGAGTGGCCCATTTCAAATGAATACATATTATAATTATTGACGCATCAGTGTGTTCATCACTGTAGTACTGCAGCTGGTAAAAGTGGGGCAAATTTTAATTACTTATACTGCTGGGTAGTTTAAACTATAATAATACATCATACTGTACAAGTCTATTTATGTTTTGTATTCATAATCAGAGCCTGCAAAGTAACTGATGTTGGGAAATAAATGTAGTGGAGTTAAAGCTATAGTGCGTAACTTCTGTCGCCTCCCAGTGGATAATGCGTTATTACAACTAATAAGCCGGCGGCACTTCCACGTACACAGAGTAACACTCGCCACACACCATGTACACAGAGTAACACTTGCCTTTGTGGTATTATCCACCTCTGAACCGTGTCTCAGCCGCTTCTCTGCCATGTTGCTTTCTCTTTCTACCTGCGCTCTACCTCTTGCTATGACACTCTCCGCTCTTCCTCCTCCTCCCTTCTTGTTGTGAGGAAGCATTTCCTGTGTGCCAGCGTGGGAATGTCGCCGGTCGACACGCAAACAAAAAATTATATATATTGAAAAATACCGCGAGATGTTAGAGGAGCCGATCGGCTTAATCAGCATTGTGTCATCTCCTCTAGTAGTGGCTTGGGTGAAACGGACATTTACGGACCTGTAGAAGTTACGCACTATAGCTTTAAAAGTAAAGTATAAAGTAGCATAAAACAGAACTTAAGTACTTGAGTTGAAGGAATTAGTTAAATTCCACAACTAGTTATTATTATGCAGCTGTTTTCATGTCTCTCAGTTTTTATTGAGAAGAAATACAGTGGCACAGCTGAGAAGAAGTTAAATGGAGACTAAATGACATTTTCTAAACAGAACAGGAGAATATAATCTGCAGATATGGACCATGCTGACAAAAATGTATGTGTATAATTGGCCTATAGTTTCCTCCAAAGCCTCACCTGGTATGTTAGCTTCAGTTGTAGTTAAAGAGGGCAGAGTGACAAGTGATAGTAGCTATTATTTTGGTGATTTTCCCACCACATTCATTCACAGAGCCGGCATGGCATCATGAGGAACTATGCGTAGGTGTGAGGCTGTGTTTATGTTTGTTCTTTATGAGTGGCATGTCTCCTGACTGTTTCTATGTGTGTGTGTGTGTGTGTGTGTGTGTGTGTGTGTAGAGACGGCTGTGGTAAGCACCCACAGGGAAACTGTAAATCACCACCTCTGACATATACACGTATATACATGCAGATGTGCACAAAGACACAAATGTAGGCAAATGAGCTTGTGTTCCTCTACAGAGACAAACACTTGACCTACACAAGCCACCACAATGCAGCATTAAACAATATGTTTTTTCCAAACCCAAGCCAATAAGGCGTCTCTGATCATATACAACAGTGTACAGGCTGAGAATCACTCCCCATGGACAATAAAATTAACTTTATGTGTGAAATAGTGAGGGACTGGTATTTGTATAGCACCTCTCTAGTATTCTGACTACTCAAAGTGCTCTCAACACGCTACTTTCATACATTGACTACCATACAAGGTGCCACTTGTTGGTTCAGTTAAGTTTGGGGTTCAGTATCTTGCTCAAAGGCATACAGACTGGAGGAGCTACGGATTGAACCACAGATCTTCCGATTATTGGACAAGCTGCTGTACCTCTTGAGCCACAGATTATGGAGTGCCCCTTAAAGTGTTTCAGATATGTATGACATGTTCATTATTTCATGAGCAAGTCATTCAAGAATACATTTTTATTATTTTTATTTTATTGGAGCTACTTGTGTCAACTTAGGGAGAACTTACAGATAAAAAAGAAAAGACAAATTTCGTGGAGACTGGTTACTTGTTACACAGATTTTTGTCTTTGAGTTTTTATAACACAAGTAATTTAATCATTAATTTATTAAATAATCACTCATGATATTAATACACAGAGTTAGAGTCCATATTGACCCTTTGTGTTTAGATAGCAATGAGCAACACAGATCTGCTAATATCTGATGTTAGAGTCACTAACTAACTAAAGACAAAGATATCTCAATCAAAATAATCCTAAAAACCTCACATGAATCCTACAAGGGACCTGAAAGCCAGGATGCATACTCTGATTAAAGAGTGAGGCCTCTGAGCTCATCCAAAGCTGCCTCTCTCTGAACAAGTCAAACCCAGCAGAAGTGCAGGATCATGATTTGCCTCTTATGTCAGTGTTTACCTGCCCCGTCTTGACCCGAACCCCCCTCATCTCTAAGAAACTTGACTTGTAAACAAGGTGCATTCAAATGCAGCCGATTTGTCTAAGCTTTGTTTGCTGAGATGTAAAGACTCAAGTTTTCATGATGCCATGCAAAACAGCCCGGAAACAAGAACACTGCTGCCTAGCACCACTCAGTGTCATCACAGAGCTCTAACACACTCTGCTGATGGGAAGGGATACAGATGCAAGGCATGTACACACACACACACACACACACACGACACACACACACACACACACACACACACACATAAACACACTCGCACACATGGCAACTTCAAACATTCAGGTCTGGTGACAAACACACATTTGTTAAACAAATACATTCAGCATCATGTGGTCTGTATGAGAAAATTAGGAGCCGAACTGAACTGAACGGAAGAGGAACGTGACAGACAGAGACTGCGTGTGTGTGTCAAACTGAGACAGCTAGTGAACAGAGGCACCCTAGAGCTCACCTAGTAGAGGGGATGCCCCATGTACAAAGGCTTTGTCCTCGCCGTAGTGGCCGCAGGCTTGATTTCAAGTTGTGGCCCTTTGCATGTCATCCTGCTTCTCTCTCCCACTTTCACTCTGGATCTGTCCTGTCTAATAAAGGCAAAAACGCAAAAAAAAAAAAAAAAAAACATCTTTAAAAAAAGACAGTCAGTGAACAATGTGAGTTAGGGCATTTAGAATTTATTATCATTAAATGTTATCTATAGTGTGTGTCTATTCGTTCGCTGAAAGCCATTATGCACATGAGAATAATAGGGCCAGGCATATAGGAAGAAAAAGATTTCTATGCAACCAATTGGCAAATCTCATTCAGGGTGCCCTATTTAAACTGCTCAGGCCTGCCAATGTTGCCCGCTTCCGCCTCCACCCCAGCTCCTCCTTTTCATGCTGTGTCTGTCTTATCAGTGTCATTGATGCTGCTCTGTTCTGTTCCCAACGGTTTTTTGCTGCTGCTCTCCCTGCCTTAGACTTTCCATGTAGGCGCATGGAAGGGCAGGGAGGTGTGCCCATACCGCCAAATATAATACTGCAAATGGAAATAAAGTTTTCTTTGACTTAAGTGTTCCTGACTGAGCTAGCCATTTCAAGAATGCAGCTACCTCTTCTCCTTCTGAAGAGATGCAAGTCTCTGCGCAACCTCTTTAAAGTCCAAATACTTATTACAGAAGAGAAATCATTTCCTTGTTACTAAAAACGATTCCAAATTACCATTTCACCAATTCATCTACATGAGGCATTTTGTAGAGGCAGTCGTATGAGCTTGATTTATTCTCAAAAGCTTGACTTTTCCTTATGCCCTGCCCTAAATGGTCTTCTATAGGTGGTGCTGACACTCTACAGGGGCCCATGAAACGATCAAGCACACACACATTAATCTGATTTTGTCTCACAAAAACATACTGAGCCTGTACCTGTCTGAATAAACATTCACCACAATGCAATCTTGGGGTTGTGATAAAATATAAATGTTCTCATCTGTTGCAGGTTTATCAGGTACACCAGCTATATCTATTGCACTAATGGCATGTTTGAATACGAAGAGGTCTATAAATTAGTATTAACTTGACTCTCAGTAACAAGCTGCAAAGAAACAGATGAGTGTGAAAAGGTGTGATTGGATTTAACCCTCACTGTATCTGACTACAGGTACTGGAGAGAGTGGAAAGAGCACCTTCATCAAACAGATGAGGATTATCCACGGAGGAGGATACACAGATGAGGACAAGAGGAGCTACGCCAAACTGGTCTACCAGAACATCGTCACATCCATGCAGGCCATGACCCGAGCCATGGAGGCACTTAGCATATCTTTCGCTGATCCCCAGAACCAGGTACTGAACAGACAGAGTCAGACTTAGTATTGACTCTGGAGTCCAGGTTCATTTTTGTCTTTAACAAAGTATAAAGTGAGACGTTGGAAATGTGGGATGGATCATTTTCTGACTGTGTCCCTGTATTATCTGTGTGTGTCCACAGAGCCATGCAAACTTAGTCCTGGAGGTGGAGGTGGATAAGGTGGAGGAGTTAGATTCAAGCCTTTCGGCGGCCATCAGGAGTCTGTGGGACGATGCAGGAATACAGGAATGCTACGACAGACGCAGGGAATACCAGCTGTCCGACTCCACCAAATAGTGAGCATTAGAACTTGTAACTTGCTGCTGAAGGGGACTGCATTTAATGGGTGGGGCTGTAGCGACATTTAAAGACACGGAGGTTTTGTTCTTGGTTCTGTTTTCTGTAAATTTGGGGGTTTTAGTAACTGGTGGGGAATTTACCTTCAATTCAAACATACACATGGTGGTTTTTTAATGTTGATTCCTGTGTTTCCAGTCAAGTCGGACTAATTTTAGCCCAACTTAAATGAGTAAAGAAATAAAAGACGGTTTTTTTCTTGCACTGGAAAAGGTTTCAGACATTTAAATGTCAATGCTGGGAGATAAAATGTGTAAAGATCCACCCTCTGTATCTTGCTGTGTCAATCTGGCTGCAATGTTTTGTAAGTATGAAGAGACATTGTAATGAGCACAGGAGGTGTCCCCTCTGACCACACAGATGAGTACTCGCTCACATGGGAACATCAATTAGCATTAATAAAGATCCTGCTGTTTGTGAAGCTCATGATCCAGATAAAAAAGGAAAAGAAAGGCGACTGTTTTTAGCTTGTGGTTGCTATTTTTGGCTGTGCAGATGCAGTGTCTGCATCTGCATCTGCTCTATTTGTACTTCTCTACTGAAGCAAAACACTTGTGGTTTCTCTAATGGTTTCAGTTTCCACTCTATGCTGCACTAACAGACACTCAAACATCCTATGACAATACTTAAGTGATGATGCACAGATAACTGCAAGTAATCCACATGCAGGTGCATTTAATCTGATATTAGAATTTATGATCACGACTTCATTTTATCTAAAGATAAATCCAATTTTTCATGTTCTGTCTCTCATTGGTTTTTACATTATTATCCTTTTTAATTGTATTCTATTGTCTTTAATATATTGATTTTTAACATTTTATTGTTTCATTATTGTAATTTTTGGACTTGCAGATTTTTATTTATGGTTGTTTAATTTTAATTTAACTTTATTTATTTTGTCTGTGTTGTTTCAATTTTGCCATCTGAAGCACTTTGGGCTGCATGTCAGCACAAAAGGTGCTCCAGTTTCAGTGGCCACAAAATGTCCCCAGTTCTGTTAATTTCCTTCATATTTCCACTTGAGTTAATTTTCTCCTTTTTTTCCCCAGCTATCTCACCGACCTGGATCGAATTTCACAGCCCTCCTATATACCTGACCTGCAGGATATCCTCAGAGTCCGAGTGCCGACCACGGGTATCATTGAGTACCCCTTTGACATGGAGAACGTCATCTTCAGGTAAAATATAACACAGCACTATGGCAGGTAATGACTGCAGGAACAGGAGGCATCACTGGTGATATTGCATACTTTTTCTGTTGTTGTTGGATTGGCTGTTATGGCAGGATGGTGGATGTGGGGGGTCAGAGGTCAGAGAGGAGGAAGTGGATCCACTGCTTTGAGAACGTCACCTCCATCATCTTTCTGGTGGCGCTCAGCGAGTACGACCAGGTCCTGGCTGAGTGCGACAACGAGGTGAGAATTCATTTTCCGGACTTTGACCCTTTAAAAACACGTGTCCTCATTGCTGCCTGTTTTTATGGTGTAATTTTGATTTCAGAACCGTATGGAGGAGAGCAAGGCCCTGTTCAAAACCATCATAACCTACCCCTGGTTCCAGCGATCCTCTGTCATCCTCTTTCTCAACAAGACCGACATCCTCCAAGAGAAGATCATGTACTCTCATGTAGCCACCTACTTCCCTGAATTCACAGGTTTGTTTGTTTGTGCTTGTGATGTACAACTCATTGACCAGTTTATTAGGTACACCTTTTTTATGTCTCCAAGCTGGCCATAGCTGTGGTCGGAGGCGTTATGTTTTCAGGCTGCCCATCCGTCCGTCCGTCCGTCCGTCCGTCCGTTCATCTCATTCTTGCAAATCTCTCGTGAATATCTCAAGAAAAGCTTGAGGGACTTTCTTCAAATTTGGCACAAATGTCCACTTGGACTCAACAATGAACTGATTAGTTTTTGGTGGTCAAAGGTCAAAGTCACGGATTTCAGCATTCAGAGATCAAGGTCAGTGTGACCTTGCATCTGTCTCATGTTCTTGTGAACATGATATCTCAAGAACACCTTTAGGGAATTTCTTTGAATTTGAGACAAACATCCACTTGGACTGAAGAATAAACTGATTAGAATATTGTGGTCAAAGGTCAAAGGTCAAGGTCAGTGTCACCTCACAAAATATGTTTTTGGCCATAACCTAAGAATATATGTGCTAATGATGACAAAACTTCCCACAAATGTCTAATAGGATGAAATAATGAAGTGATGACAAAAGGTCAAAGGTCAGCTTCCCTGTGACATCATACTGTTCTGGCCATTATTCATCGTCATATCTCAGGAACAGAAGGGAAAATACTGGGTGTCCACCTTGAAACTTTGCTGATTGTATAGATTTTCTGTGCAGTCGGGGGGAATATGTGTGTGAAGCATCCATGTTTTCAGACATGGATGTAAACTGTAAGAGAAACCTGACTGGTGCGCAGAGGCATGAAACCGTGGGGCAGTAATTTTAGTTTTTATTTATTTATTTATTTAACAGGGACAGTGCAATCACAGTGAAATATGCCAAAGTGAGTAAGAAAGGCTCATTTTCATCTTTAGTCCCTGGGCAGGCAATAGTACGCAAACTCGTTTAAGCTAGGTGTACCTAATACAGTGGCAACTGAGTGTCACATTTGGTCACTCATCATATTTGTAAATCGGTAGAGAACAGGCATAATTTTCTATTAAAAAGGGACAGTTCACCCAAAAATCCACATCTTATTCTTACCTGTAGTGCTATTTATCAATCTAGATTCCCAGCCAACATTTGTATGAGAGGCCCATGTGGGTAGTAAACGGGCTGAAAAATGGGCCCTGTATGGGACTGTAGGAGGCAAAATACTTTTGATTTTGTGGGGAACTATCTATCTAAACAAACGATAAAAATCATTTAAATGTTGAATTTACTGAAAAATATAATACAATTATATTAACCCTGAATTGCAGGACCTCAGCAGGATCCTGTAGCAGCTCAAGAATTCATCCTGAAAATGTACCAAGAACAAAACCCAGACAAGGGCAAGACGCTGTACCCTCACTTTACCTGCGCCACAGACACAGAAAACATCCGCTTCGTCTTTGTGGCCGTAAAAGACACCATCCTCAGACACAACCTGAAGGAGTTCAATCTGGTGTGAAGAGGAGCAGGAGGAGGAGGACAGACATGAGGAGAGCTGAGATAGGATGGAGAATTACATGAAACAAAACTTCACAGTGCTGTCTAAACAGAGAACAATTAGATCCACTGAGAATATTTATGATTTATTTAATCCAAAGGTTTAAATATTTTCACTTTTCAACTTTGGTGCCTGTAAAAATCCAGCCAAAGAGAATATGAACATGTAACATGTCCAAACTTCTGTTTCTGTAGGTCATTGTGTCTGAAATGCTGTTTTGTGTATTTTGTGTTTTGTATACTTTAGTTTTTATTCCAGCCTTTATAGATATGTGCTCTAAGAAAATGATACTTTGCAGTAGAAGTAAGAATGTAATAGCATTGACCTTTTGTGTGGACTACTTGTTTTATTACCTTTTACAGTGTATTAGAAATAGGATCCAAGTATGCATTTTCTGCTCATGTCATAGCTGTTTTGTGATTTAATGTTGTGAAGATTTTTTTCTCCATTGTTTTTAACACTGAGCCATGGGTGTGTGCTTTTGCCTCCAAGTGCCTTGTTGACTCCGGACAGCCACTGACTTTGTTTAGATGTAAATAATTCAAGTTGCTTTTTGACAAACTCTACTCAGCTGTTTCTTCTCAGGAGAACTGGGTATCATTATATTTATGGTCATTTTCAATAAACAATTATAGTTACCTAACAACGAGTGCAATTTGTGTGCTTGAGACATTTAATGGACCATGATAAACAAAATCTGAAACACATATTTTATTTATTTTTAAAACAGTGGGGAGAAAAAAGAAATCAAGCCACTGCAGTGAACATTAATGGCAACAGAAATACTTAGTCGTATTAAATTGCAATGTGCCCCAAACCAAAAGCAAACCTTTAAAATACACATCAGAGTAAACAGCAGCTGTTAATAATTAGCATTCATTTCTTTTAAATATACTTTTCTCTGCATAATTCATCAACATAGTTGGCATTGCATATGTGTGGTATAAAAACATAAAAATCACAAAATTACAATCTGCAACGCCGTTATACAGACTATCTTGTGAGGATGGATATATACAGATAGGATGCTATATTAGATCAATATACAGCAGACTGATACATTTCAGTACGGTATAAAAATAGCATGCAGCTCTAAATAACACACTGAACAGTCTTCATCTTGCAGAAATGTATAAAAAAAAAAGGAAACTTGAGAGTAAGTGAGAGTAAAAGGAAACAGCGTTTGAAAATCAGCACATTTTGAATTCTTTGTGTTACAGAGGCATACTCAGAATTTAAATTAGTTTCCCTTTTATATAATCCAGTAAAATAAACAGTGTACAACATTAAATGTGCTACAACTACTATGGTTGATTTGGCCTCAGTGTTATTCAAGCTGTTTTCTACCACGTCTCTTACTAGCACTGTAATAGTATTGCTTCTACAGCCAAACACTACTTGGAAACATAAAACTGAATGACATTAGTGACTTTGGAAACTTCTGTAATTTTTTTAACCTAGACCATATTTTCTGTGTCTCAGTGACTAATGGAGATGACAGTATTTGAGATTGGTCCAGTAGTGAGAGAGAACGCTCCAGCCTCAACAGTGAGGGCAACTGCACAACTTCCATTTACGTCCACTAAAAGTGATTATTTTTGCCAGTGACAGGCTCAGATTGTTACTGTAAGTGTCTAATAACACTACAGTAAAGACCCTATAGAGAAATGAAACATTTTTCGTTACCTTTCACTGATCTGGGGTCTTATTTATAAAACAACATGCAGGATCCATACTAAAAATATACATATAGGCAAAAGCCAAAAATGGCGTGCGCCAAGAAAATACTCGACAGGCTTCCACTTCACCATCTGCGTCGCCAATTTCCCATCTCCAAAATGTTTGTAAGCATGGGTCAAAGTTTCTCCTATCAAATCTGTTTTTATAGATCACAACTTTTGCATGGGAAGTGGCATACGCCTCTTTCAGGCCTCATTTTGGGCGTAGGCAATGAAATCTTTCCTTCCAAAATCTCCCAGACTTTTACACATTGTCCAAATCAGCTTCATTTTCAGCCATGACTCAAAACATATTAAATAACACTAAGCTAAGCTTTCTGTACTCCTTTCTGTACTACGACTCTCACTAATGTTTCCACTGCTGTCGCCTCTTGTGGGATTTCAGAACTTCTACTTGAGCAAGACTCGGTCACAATAACAAATAGACCAGCAAAAGGAAAGTATGAAAAGCATTTTGTTTCTCGTAAGGTCCTTTCCATAATACTATCAGATGCTTCTAATAACAGTCTGAACCTCTCAGTGGCAAAAACAAGCACTGTTGGTGGACGTAAATTCACGGTGCATAACTGCCCGTAGGGATTACACTGCAATTTTTGTTTCTATCACTCACTTAGACACAGACACATGAGAAAATAGAGTCCAGGTTGAAAAATACCAAAGTTTCCCTTTAATGTGTGTTTGATTAAGAATGGCAAACTAAATGCCAAGACAATCCTCAAATGTCACCAGCATGTCAGATCCAAGCAGATCAGTGATAAGACGAATATGTAAATCATTAAAAGTCAATTATGTGTGTGTGACAGGATGAGTGCGATCAGAGTGAAGACAGTGAAGTTAAGTTTGGTTCAGTGCATTCTGAGCTTCTGTGTTGTCTATTTATAGCACTTCAGTAAGCATGCACACATTCACACTTCTCACTCAGCCTTTCACCCTCGACACACGCTAACAGTCAACATACAGCATCGTTTACCACGACTCACACATGGAGGTAAACAAAGGGAGCATGCAGTAAAGAACAAAGGCACTGACACACACGAGTTTTGTGTGTGTGTTTTCTTTTTCTCTTTCTTTTTTTTTTTTTTTTTAGGTATCTAATTCCTCACTCTTCTCGATGAGTCAGTATTTGGGTAAACTCTCTCTTGCATCATCCAATCTGGCAAGAACCCACTGAAAAGAAATAAGAACCAAAGTTAGAGCGATAATTTACTGTGACTGCAGGTTGGACACACACAGTAACTTCGGCCTGGATGACACAAGGAGGCACAAGTTTAAGTTTTGATTATATATAGTCAGCAGATCACAATCAGGCACTTTTGTATTCTCAACTCACCTTGGCTATTTCAGGAGTTTTGAAGTTTATGATCTTCCCAAACTCCTTGGCGTGGAAGACAGACTTGACTCTCTCCTGCAGTGCATACAACAAGGCATTTAGTGCTATAATCTGCTAAATAACATTAAAACCTGCTATAAATATGTAACAAACATTAGTCTCCTATGGAGAAAACAGTCGCTTCTGACATTTAAAGGCCCAGACACACAAAACTGACAAGAACTCTTGGCGACAAAGGCTGACTGTTTCTGTGTGTCGCGTCATGTCCCCTGTGTTTCAGCCAATAAGTTACACTTGAACACACTGTAAAGACTACAGCCAACGGCCAACTAGCATGTACGTTCTGTGCCTGGGTGAGAGGAAATAACTCTCCATAGCAGCAGGCGGCAGTAGTTTGTAATCTTCATTAAAGAAGAGAAACCGCACTGACAGGATGGATTCAAGACGCTAGTTAGCCAGTTAGAACTCTAACGACTCAACCTGATGTTGCAAGAACAAATGATAGCCTATCTACTGCGCACCAGTGAACAATAACACAAACAATTACAAACTGTTTCTGCTAAAGAGCACAACGGCTAAAAACATAATCTTACCTCATATGACAAGTTTGTTTGCTTTCCTCACTTCCGTTTCCCTTCTCTTGCACTGAGCTGAGCTGCAAATCAGAAGCTCTGTTGCCTCCCTCATTGTTTCATGCTAAATTGTCAGAAAAACAGCCCACAAGGGCCGAATAATGCCAACGGTGCATGATACACCACAGAAACTAGGGCGACAGACGCTCACTGACAGCCTGACACTGACTGATAGCTGATAGTCGACTTGGTGTGTCAGGGCCTGAGTTTTACTTTTGTACCTTGGCTTCAATGCGGAGTCGGCGGTCCTCTACAATCATTGGATCCTTGGTGAACTCTTCAAACAAATACTGCCATTCGCAGGTCAGCTGGCCAAATGTGCCTTTGGTCACAAAAAATATTCCCCTGGAAAAGAAACCACATAAGAAGAGTTACAGGCAACAAATATCTCCTTTGAGGACCCTGTATTTTTGGTGAAGGCTTCAGTATACAGTCTTTATGATAGTATAATGCACAGCATAGAAATATTAAATACTTATTTACAAAAATACAGTGAGATTTACATCTGATAAAAGCATGCAGTGAAGATGACATAATGATTTAAAATTGTTGTTGGTGTGTGTAAATATGATAGGCAAACAAAAGTAATGCTCATGTCAAATACAACTCGAACACCTCGCACAAAATAAATCGTTCCCTTTGTCCTTTAAGCATTAAGTGACATACTGATAGTGGGACGTATTTCCATTGCTTCTAGGAATGTAAATTATTTTCCAGATTCTGGGCATGTTTCTTGTCAAAGTAATTAGTGGGATATTTAAAATAAAAATTAAAGAAGGCCCAGATGTTTTCACCTCCTGGGCTTTTTGCATCTCCCTGCATCACACTACAAACTTTCTGAGAAGAATGTTTAAGTTGCTTGAAAAAATGTCCTGCACAATTGGACCTCTCGGCAAGTGTTACTCTCTGATATAGAGAGATTTTTAACACGCTCCCCTATAAAAAAAAGACTTACAGGCTGTTGTAAAAGGAAAAAATCAGCTGTGCAGATTATTTACCAGTAGACCTGATAAACATACTTCTTAAGGTTCTGAGGCTTCTCATAATTATGGGATACACAACATGATACGGCCTCTGATGACCAGTTACCCTAAACTCACATTTACATACAGTACAGGCCAAAAGTTTGGACACACCTTCTCATTCAATGCGTTTTCTTTATTTTCATGACTATTTACATTGTAGATTCTCACTGAAGGCATCAAAACTATGAATGAACACATGTGGAGTTATGTACTTAACAAAAAAAGGTGAAATAACTGAAAACATGTTTTATATTCTAGTTTCTTCAAAATAGCCACCCTTTGCTCTGATTACTGCTTTGCACACTCTTGGCATTCTCTCCATGAGCTTCAAGAGGTAGTCACCTGAAATGGTTTCCACTTCACAGGTGTGCCTTATCAGGGTTAATTAGTGGAATTTCTTGCTCTATCAATGGGGTTGGGACCATCAGTTGTGTTGTGCAGAAGTCAGGTTAATACACAGCCGACAGCCCTATTGGACAACTGTTAAAATTCATATTATGGCAAGAACCAATCAGCTAACTAAAGAAAAACGAGTGGCCATCATTACTTTAAGAAATGAAGGTCAGTCAGTCCGGAAAATTGCAAAAACTTTAAATGTGTCCCCAAGTGGAGTCGCAAAAACCATCAAGCGCTACAACCAAACTGGCACACATGAGGACCGACCCAGGAAAGGAAGACCAAGAGTCACCTCTGCTTCTGAGGATAAGTTCATCCGAGTCACCAGCCTCAGAAATCGCAAGTTAACAGCAGCTCAGATCAGAGACCAGATGAATGCCACACAGAGTTCTAGCAGCAGACCCATCTCTAGAACAACTGTTAAGAGGAGACTGCGCCAATCAGGCCTTCATGGTCAAATAGCTGCTAGGAAGCCACTACTAAGGAGAGGCAACAAGCAGAAGAGATTTGTTT